CATGCTAACAATTTTCAGTTTATGTAACCAGTCCTCCAAATTTTTAAATACTGCAATTTCACTAAAACTGGGGTGAGTAGCTGACAGTATGGTTCTATCATGCAAAATGTACTACTTGAGGAAGTCATGCCTTTGGGATTCTGTTCTTTCTGATATAAGGATTCTCTTAAGTTATTGTTGCCATTTCCCCTTTGGTTACTTAAAAACTGTGGTTAGACAAAAGTACTGGTGATTTTCCTGCTAAATGTAATTGAACATTCTTCCTCTGAAGCATAGCAAATTTTTGGCCTATCTGCATTTTCTTAAACTAATTGAAGACTTTAAATGTGTACACGTCTAACGTAATCAATATTATACTACAGCACTGTCATGATTAATTAGTAAAGAAAAAAACAAGCAACAACTGCATAAATGAATTGAAATAGCAGAAAAAACCTTTGTCTGTCATGAGAAAACTTTGCAACACAGTTCGTTCCTCAAATTCAACTCTTAAGCCTTTTCATTTATTTTTTTCTTGATGTTTTCCTGAGTTGTTTGATGTGCGACTTGACTAGTTTATAAATTTATTAGGAAATAATAGTAATAATTACCGTGTTACAATAAGATTTGAGGTTGAAGAACTGATACTGAAAATCCATTTCTGGCATTTAAGTAAACATTTCTATCTTTTCATAAGAAATCACTAAGTATTTAAAAAGGTTATTTTTCCATTACAATGCTCCACTTGAAATTTATCATGCAATAATGCGTTCATTTGTGTTTGCTGTTGAGATAACAGAGTTAATCAGAATAACATAAATCAAAGTATTAAAAATGTAGTTGTAAATTCTTGATTTATTAGGGTAGGTAAACACTAGTTCTGTCAGATGCTGCTTATCTTTCATCCTGAAAGGTGATCCTGCCCCTCTACTCTGTTCTCGTGAGACCTCACCTGGAGTATTGTGTGCAGTTCTGCTGTCCTCAACATAAAAAGGACATGGAACTGTTGGAACAAGTCCAGAGGAGGGCCACGAGAATGACCAGGGGACTGGAGCACCTCCTGTATGAAGACAGGCTGAGAAAGTTGGGACTGTTCAGCCTGGAGAAGAGAAGGCTGCGGGGAGACCTCATAGCAGCCTTCCAGTATCTGAAGGGGGCCTATAGGGATGCTGGGGAGGGACTCTTCATTAAGGACTGTAGGGATAGGACAAGGGGTAATGGGTTAAAACTTAAACAGGGGAAGTTTAGATTGGATATAAGGAGGAAATTCTTTCCTGTTAGGGTGGTGAGGCACTGGAATGGGTTGCCCATGGAAGTTGTGAATGCTCCATTCCTGGCAGTGTTCAAGGCCAGGCTGGACAGAGCCTTGGGTGACATGGTTTAGTGTGAGGAGTCCCTGCCCATAGCAGGGGGGTTGGAACTAATTGATCTTAAGGTCCTTTCCAACCATAACTATTCTATGATTCTATGATTATGGAACTAAATACATTCTCAGAAGGAAAAAAAAAGTATACAAATATTACCCTAATAATATCTTTCCTTTAAAGAAGATTAATAATAGACAAACATTTGCTAATTCAGCAGGTATGTTTATAACATAGTCTTTAAACTTGAGCTGTCAGTTAACACATATTCAAGATTCCTAACTTAAAAGGGAAGGATACCCTTGAGTATGATAGCAAAAACTGCCTTCCCCCACCCCACCCTACTTCTCCCTCTCTCCTACTTCTTATCTCTCATTAAATAATAACTCTCATTTAGTGACATCAGTCATTTTGCATCAGCCTTTTTTATGGCTTGAAGAGAATGTTAAATGTGGAATAAGCATGAGTGGCATTTAAACTGAAACGTGTGATATCTTCACAGATTTTGATAATAAAAATGGAAAACAAGTCATGAGTTGGTATTAACATTAGCTAAGAAATGAAAACGGATGCAGTAATTTGCAATTGCACAACAGTTTGGCCCATTCTGCCATCACTGAGCTGCAAGTATTTACAAATGTAAACTAGTGCACTGTCAAACCTTGAGACTGGTAAACTGTACCCAGTGGGTTTGGGTAGTGAATGCAAGGAGGGTGAAGCTTAGAAGTGTCATACAGCTGTGATCCTCTTCTCATTTTACTGTGAGGGTCTGCTGTCTTTAAATGACATTGAGTCACTTGGATGTCTTACAGAAAAAGAAAAAAAGAAATTATCATCCTAATAGCGGGTAAAAACGAACAGAAAAGTAAAATGCATAACCACTAATAGGAAATCCTGAGAGTTACTGGGCTTTCTCTGATTTATTTCTGCTAAAGATCTGGCTAAAGGGAGTGATCTACTTTTTGGCTGCTCAAACTGAACACTTGAGTAGATGATAGTTTTGAAGATGTCATCTGAAGTATTACACAATTAGTATGAATAATTTTAAAATATTCTGTTCCTGTAACAGATCATGAAATGCCTCATCTAATGGACTGAGGAGCTTAGATCCAAGCTATTCCCAAAACCAGCAAGCCTGTACATTTCCGTCATTGGCTATCACAAAATTTGTCATTTAAAATTTAAGTTGTGACTGAGTAATAGCTCCCAAAGAATGATCTAACTTTGGCTGAGCTTTGCTTAAGAGTTAGGCTACACCTCCAAAGATGGCACTGCAAGGTGGGAGGGGTGAAGCTGTTTGCTGGCATGGGAAGAACTGAATGTGTAGCCAAATATTGCCACAATGAAAGAGTACTTTTCCATTGCACCTACTTTCCTTAAATCTTGGCTAAGTTCTGGCCGTATTAATGACAATCTCCTTGTCAATTCTGATGTACTGTAAAAGTAAAGCTTTTGCAAATTTGAAGATGTTGCTTGCTTTGGGATTTCTTAGTCCCTGTCAACGGCTCACTTATCCTATATCAAATTGACACAAATAATTTAGGATTCTTTAATTGATTTTAGCAAATAGCCCCCCCACTTTATTGTTCTAATTATTTGTTTGATGGTTTTATTACAGCTGTACATCTGGATTTTCATTTTTAGACATTACTGATTTAAAAGTTTTCTCCAGCCTACGCCATGTAAAACTGTGCTTTTGATGTAAACCCATATTATGGTAATGTGTGTACCACTGCACATAGCATTTGCCGACTTTTGAATCAACTTACTTTGAGGGCTGCTGGCTGGCAATTTCCTTCTCTTTAAATATTCCTGATAGGAGTTTATTGCTTTTCGGTAGCTGGAGAGTGGTATAGCACATATTCAACTCTTATATTTAGTTCCATCTCCATTTTAGTTACAGACCGTATTGCTATAATTAAAAACTATACAATTTGTGTTTATTATTCTATATGCCTTGAGTGTGTTCTATTCTTTTGCTTCTAGAGCACTCCCCAAGGTAACACAAAATAATAACATGCCATATGGCAAATAGAGTCAGCTGTACACCACACAGCATCTTTTATCATGCAGCTTTTACAAAATGACATTCCCAAGTTTGTAACTGATGAATATGGCATGTCCTAAAGAAACTCTAGCTGTATTATTCTGCTTCTTCCATTAGAAGCATCCTTGCTGACATTCTGAGCCTTTTTTAACATAAACGCAGCAGCCGTCATTTTGCAAGAATCAACAACCTACAAAGGAACAGGCAGAATGTCTCAGCGTGCTAAGCTTACCAAACTTCAGAAAGTTAGCATAAACACAATATTGTATTATCATGACTTGTGCAACATATAATTGATACAATGTAATAGTAATAATGAGTTTCATGTAGTTTGCAAGGCTTGACTGGGCATTGTTGTTTGTTTGTTTTTAATGTCTGTATTGTTCCTGGGGATTCACAGAATGTGTTATTTCAGTAGTGGATTTCCACAGGTTTGGAGTCAATCATCTGAACTGTGCTGTGTGGAAGCATTAGGTACTGTTCCGTGAAAGTTAAAAAATAAGCATAACGTGGTTTGTAGATGGGTTCTACAAATGTTTGCCTACACAGCTAAATTCTAAAGGGAATTTTCATTTGTATATGTACAAAATGGATGTGATAACCTGATATTACATAGGAATGTGAAACCCTGCATTTCTTACCAGTTGACATGTGTTGTTATATGAGCATCTCACGTTAGCTTTAGTTTTATGAGTGGAAGAAGAGGCAAGTATTAAGCAGACAGACAGGCAAATGATGGATATCCAATGTCTGAGTATTTCTTTCCATCTTATGCTTGTGGCAAAAATATAATTCAATCTATTCTAGAAGTAAGTCTACTTAAGAGATTAAGAAAATGTTTCTGTCGTGAGCCATTGCATCATGTAACATACAGTTAGCTTAGCTTTTCAGCTTGTTTTAGGCTGCAGGGAACACAGAGTCCCCTCTCACTATGTCATGACACGTGGTACAGTAACTTTTCACCAAAGCAGCAGAGGAGAGGAGCAAAGGATGAATTGTTGCTCACTGTTCTTCTAGATTTGCTCTTTAGTAAATACATTTTTACTCTTCTCTACCCAGGCTTGGGAAATAGGAGTGTGTCGAAGCTCCAAATGACCTTTCCACCTGTCACCAATCTAAGAAGGAAGAGGTAGGTCATAAAACATGATACTTTTCTGCAGTGTGCATGTAATGCCCCAAGAGATCAGCACCAGGCTACGATAATGTCAGATTTGAGAACTTAGAACTGATTTGTTGAGAAAGAACAGTAAACCACATAGCACAACTCTCTTTTACTCCTTTGGAAAAGTATTGCTTGTTTGGTTTTCTGTAAGAAATAGTACAATCTTTTATTTAAACAAAATGAAATACAGAAAATGGATTTCATTCAAAGATATGTCAAATACCAGTGTAGTAAATATCTGCACTGAGGGTAATGGCAATTTTGCTCAAAAAGGAGATTTATTGTGTGAGTGTATGGGAGTAGGGTATGTGTGTGTGCATACATATGTCCATAGACACACAAAGTGGTAATTCTCAGAAACAGTAGGGAGGGGCAAGGTAAGCATAAGCTACTCTATATGAGTCATTACACATTTCACACTTTATACAGAATCACCTGAATTCCTTACCTGATATTTTAGAAACTTTCTGTCCTTAATTTTTCTTTCTTGCTTATCTGCTTTATCTCTACTGCCGTTCTCCACTTTTTTCTTGCCTCCTTGTCACATACGAAACCAGTGCGGACTGTACATTGATGAACCTGCATTGACAAATACCTTAGAGTTACAGATGGGTAAATAAAAAGCATTTATTACTCTTCTTTTTGTCTTCCATTAAAACAGAGAGAGAACAAGAGACCTGGGGTCAAGTTCTGATGTAATAAGTTTGCAGCCTTATTTTTATATCGGTAACCACTTAAACCCATGCACATAATCCATTCATGTAATTATTATTTTTTTTCTGAAAAGAATGTGGCAATACAAACACATAGAAATAATGTGTCTTAAATCACAAAACATGAGCTTATGAGAAACAGAAACTACTAGTGTTGGCACGTTGTCCTTTAGAAACCCAAGCAAAACCTTCAGAGTGACCAGCCATGTTTAGAAGTGCCAAAAACTAGTTGCGGCATTTACCTGTTTTCTTTTAGAGCTGATCTTGAAGTTTATAACAAGGTATCTATCAGAGACACTGCGGCGTTCAGTGATTTTCACAGAATTCTGATCAGGCTTACAAGAAATTCCTCTATACTGTAAATGGCAGTTTTCTGAATTGCAATCTAAAGGAGGTTTGTTTCCTTTTCTCTTTTGTCACTCTTTCATGGGTTGTTCGGTTGGTTTTTTGTTGTGGGTTTTTTTATTTTATTTAATTCCAGAACCTATTTCCTGGCTTTTCCCCAACTCTTAACATTCCCTTCTCCAGCTCTTGTGCCTCTTTTTTCCACCTTTGCTTTTGAACAATCATGTATTTAGGCATGAGTTTGTAAATAAAAACTATATTGTCCTCTTTTATGAACTTAGCTATTCCTAACATTCTCATTTGTAATCCTCTGACTTCCTTAATTAAGTCCATTATAGTTATAGATGCCTGTATGGGGAATTTGATCATGATTATTTGAAATGACATAGTTTTGTCATACAAGGAGGTATGAAAAATAATCAGAATTTGGGAATGTATAATGGTACTAATGAATTTTAACTGAACTCTACTGTAGACTCTTGGGATGTATTTTCTAAAATGAAAGCCATTATCTTTAAAATGATTTCTACATTCCTGGGGACTTTATTTGCTTGAGAAACACAACAGCCGTATTTGTTAGCCCTTCTGTAGTAGGATTTATGTCAGAATGAAGACAAAATGCATAGAAATACTTAAAGTGGCTTCTTTTAAATGATGAAAATGGTTCCACTCTTTAATGTATGGAGATGTTGAGTGTTCAGTCTCAAGAACTGAACAAGCCTCTGCAGAGAAGCCTGCCTGCCACTGAATATGGACTGGCAGCCTTCAGTAGCTCAGACACACAAAGTATGGTGCACAGAGCCTTGAATCCAAGATGAACTTAGGCTAAAACCAGCAGAATTTGGCCCCATGTTTCTCTTTGTCTCGCTGGCAAAAAGTTTTACATATAATAAGCACAGTCATTAAAATTATGACAAGTACCAGTTAGGTTGTGCATCATTTATTGCAGATTTCTGTGGTCACGTCTTTATATACTTTAACATGAAGTATGCGATTCCTTAGAGCGTACCACATTTTATGAGTGTGTCCAGCTTTTCACTGGGAGGATATTAAATGAAAAGCATTCTAGTTGCCTGGAAATTCATGCCATACACCAAACACCATTTTTTCTGTGATTAGCTAGGAAGAACCATCTGTCATGTGCCCACCCCCACATTGCTGAGGAAGGCAGAGACTGTGAAGGTGAGAAGTGTATTTACTTTTGTCAACAAAACCAGCTGTTGCCATTACCTTTAGCTGTAAGGCAAACATGCTGGAAAAGGTGACTACCTATTGTGATTCTAGTGCACTGGGACCAACTATGATTGTTGATGACAAGCAAACCTCTTAAAATCCAGAGGAAAACTGCTTTATGGCTTATGTCAGGAGGGCATGTACAAACACAGCTCCAGCTGGGAGCTGGAACCAAGAAGCAGAAAATTCAGGCTAGAAGAGTATCAGAATGAGTTCAAGTAAGGATCCCCCCCCATTCTCCCACCTTCCTTTTGGTAGAAAATGATACTGGAAAAGAGAACTATTTTTCTCTAATGATAACATAAGATTCTGAAATTAAGCACAGCAGGTAGAAACATCCGGCACAGATGTAAAAAAAAAATACTGCATGTTCATATGCTGAAATGTTTTCCAGTGCTGACAGCTAACTATTCCAAGTGGAAAAGGTACATGCTCTGGTGTTGTTTGTTCTCTGCCAATTTCCCTTCTTACATATCTGGCACCGTATTTTGGGGGCTGTGTACTCTAATCTCTGTTATTCTTACCAATATCCATCAGACTAAGAAAGATATTTACGGAGTGAAATCATTTTGACTTTGAATAGGATTGCAGCAAATAGGTATATCTTCCAAATTTTTGAGAAGGGGAAATGGGGCATTTCTTCCCTAAAAAGACTTTATTCCCTGGCTACCTTCTTTCATATCATACAAGAAGAACACTGCTATGGTGTGAATGTACCTAGAGCATTTTTCAGAGGCAAAATATAAACATTGGCAGCAAAGGGCACTTCATGCAAATGTGTTTCCTGAGTGATGGCTCTTCCTCCCTGATGATTCTGGCAAGACATAATAGTTTGGGAAAGTAAGTGGAATGCCCTGCCCTTCAGCTCTTTTCCCCAGAGCATGTACATCCCCTTGCAAAAAGGATTATGACAAAATAAAACGTTCATTTGGGTGGAGCTTCTTTCAAAAGATGTTCAGTATATCACTGTAGAAAATAGTAGAGATAAAACAGAGCTGTAAAGACACATTTTTTGGAGGAGAAAACAGACTATATGCGCCTGACTTTATATTGCACTCATATTCCTTTTACAGCCCACCTGTCAGTCCTGTTATCCTTGTCTAGAAAAGAATTTACAGTAAGTCTCTGCTTCAATCAGTTTCCATGGTAACTTGGTTCTGTTTTAAAACCTTTACATAAAAATGGCTTGGTTAAAATAATAATGAGCTGGAGTGATTGTCCACACCTGAACTACATCTTTCCCATTGCTCAAAAATAATCAGATGGGGTATCGCTCCATCTGTGCTAATTCCTTTAACTTCTACAAGACTGTCTCACTAACCAAGCCAGATCAGTTTCTTTACCATCTGTAAATCTCAGTTTTCAGAAACAGATAGCGTTACGGGTACTGACTAGTGTTTATACATTACATGCAGTGAAGCACAGTAAAGCATGTTAGGGTCTGAAGTCTTGAGTTCACTGGGGAAGGATCCCTCTGTGTGTACAGTACCTACAGCAGGGCTGAAAGCTCCAAGGACCACAGCATCTTTTAAGAAATGAACCAGAAGAGGCAGACTGTCCCTCTTCTAGAAAATGCTTTTCACAAAGGTAGGGGCCAGATCAAGGGGAAATAAAAGTTCAGAAAAAACCCAAATGAAAGTTTTAATTCATTCTAAGAATCTTGTGATACTGGCCCATCAGGATTATCTCTTGCACCCATAATTTCTGATTCTCAGAATGAGAATTTTGACTCAGTTTTACTTGGTCTTTTACACTATTTTTCATAATTCTGATTACTTTATACTGTCTCATATATCATCTAGAAAAAGTCAATTTTCTTTCTAATAACTTAAATAGTTCAGTGATAACACAAGTTTCGGTTACAGGGAAATCTTAAAAGAATTTCAAATATGGATCTGATTGAGGTCTTCAGCAGCTACGCTGAAAATTTGCTGCATTTCACAGGTGACACCTTCCCTGTGATAACCAAAAACTTGTATCTATTCTGTGCTAGATCTGCTCTTCTAAGTTGTGTTGGATAGCTTAATATTTGTATAGGAAGCTTTTTGTTCCATAGGAGGCACTGACAGAATTTATGGAAAATAATTTTACACTGCTGTGTCTTCCAGGTAGGCATTGAAAAAGCTGCTGAATGTAAGCATATGCGACAAATTTGTCCAAACAAAGGCTTGGTAAAGGCCTCATGTTTTGGCATGGCACAAAAGTTGTATTATTTTCCTGTTAGGACTGGTTGCCCAGCTGGTAACATGCATTGCGTTTCAAAATTTGGGTAGTATGTGATATTCTGTGATTCTCCTTAGCAATACACAGAAGGGCACTGCTCAGGGATTTTTCACACCTTATTTCTGAATGGCACTACTTATGCAAGGTATATGCACGCTGTATTCTTTATATGGGTTTACTTTTGCGTAGACTAAACTTTGGTTGTCATCTACTGATTCATCTAGATAATAAGATAACCTTGAAATTAATTTGCAATTTAAAAAAAGAATCAGTATCTTTGTCCTATACCAAATAATAGGGGTGTACTAGACATTCTATTTAGGCCTACATAATTCTTTCCATGACAACTTGAAAAAGCAAGCTTTTAAATCTATTTTTTCCACCTCTTATTTTTAACTAGCAGTTTCAGTTACCCCTTATGTCCTAACACTGTCCTATATACATTAATTTCTGAGGGCAGGGCGCTGTCAAATCAGGGTATCATAAATTTACTGAATTCCTCTCATCAGTCATGGTAACAACATCTTCACAGTACTCCTGCGCGTCACTAAAGTATGACCTTCTCTGACTGATCTGTGCAGACTATGCTTAATTGAACTGTGCTTTTCCAGTGGACATTTTAACTATCACACAATGATTTTTTCTAAAGCTGACATCCAAACAACTGGTCTCCAGTTTCCAGATGAAAGAATAAATAACACCTGCTGCTTTTCTGATTGAAAAGAGTAGTTATTCTTAATCCTTTAAACCTCTTTTAGCTCAATTAAATAATTACATATGCTTACACTTTTCCATGATTTTTTTACTCCTTTCATACTCCTTTGTATAAAGAGGGGTCCTGGTTCTGTGCCTCTTTTACGACTGTAGCACTATTGATTTCATCCTGATGCTAATCTGTGCTCCAGAAATACCCTAGTTTGATGGGAAAACTGATCATATTCATTGGCTGCTTGAGCTGGGAAATTTCTTGTTAGTCATGGCCTTTAATACAGTTCTTATTGTATTTAATTAATCTGCTAATTACTGTGAAGTGTATCTTTACTTTTTGCCCTGCATATTGTTTAT